CATCTATTTTCCTCTTGGTTTTCTAGATCATGTTTTGCACATTGAATACACACAAAATTGATATGAACAAGCTTTTGGGTGTACAAATTGGTCTTGAAGATTTTATATTTGCTCATGTCAAAGGAATAAAAAAAGAAGTGGAGGTTTTCAAATCAGAAGATTCACTCGGACTTACCATTACTGATAATGGAAATGGATGTGCCTTCATAAAGGTAGGTTGGGGATGAAGTGAATAGAGGTAGTCCTCAACTTACGGCCACAATTGAGCCCAAAATTTAGGTTTCTCGGTGAGAAATTTGTTAAATGAGTTTTGCCTCATTTTCTTTTACCACATTTGTTAAGTGAACCACTGCAGTTATTGAGTTAGTAACATGTTGTTAAGTGAATCTGGCTTTCCCATTGACTTTGCTTGTCAAAAAATTGCAAAAGGGGATCATATGACCCTTGACACTGCAACCGTCATAAATATGAACCAGTTTCAAGCATCTGAATGTAATTCACATGACCATAGGGATACTGTAGTGGTCATTAGTGCGAAAAATGGTCATAAGTTATTTTTTTCAGTGCTTTGAACAGTTACTAAATGAACTGTTGTAAGTCGAGGACTACCTGTATGAGAAACATGAACAGAATATCAATTTATTTTATTAATTTGTGGTGATAGCATTGAAACTGTTGACTAAGTCCTGAAATGAATGGCTTGAAAGTCTAATACTGATACTATTTCTTGAGTGAACACTTAGAGGAGAATGAATATCTGATAGAACCATTTCTTTTTAAAAAGTTATGAGCAAGGCACTTCAGCATATGACAAACCATATGCTTGTATGCTGTATTTTGTATGCATTTGATCCTTATTCTGTCATGATCATTTTTAATTGTCCTTCAAACACACGTGGACATTATGCATATCTACATAGTCTAGCCCATAATTTCAGCAAAAACATATGTTATATATTACTCAGAGGGGAGACGAGGGAGAAATAGCATACTTTTTCCCCTTTATTGCATAATAACTGTTATATGCATTTTTTCACTACTATTTGTTCTGGAAAAGTCCATCATTTCTCATGTCAGTTATATTTTGCTGTCAAACAATTTTTCCTCTGAGCATCCCTATCCTGGTCACCTTCCTTTGGATAGAAGCCAAGAGAGGGAAGTTGATAAGGGCTGGAGAGTGGAAAAATCTCCCTGTCAATCATATGTCTGCTAGCTTCATAGATTAATACTGATTTTTGTTAATTTCTCATTTTTTTTAATATTATACAATTTGATCAGATATTGGGCATCATGTGTATTTGTAGGTCAGAAAAACGAAACAGAGTGAATTAACTATTCCAGAATTTTGGCTTTGATAAGATTTAGATGATTACAACCTCCTTATGGTCATTTTTATCTTTGAGGAGGAAATGAAAATTAGATTATATTCTCTGATCCTCAGAAGTAATTTACACAAAAGCCAAAGGAAATTGTTAACATTTGTCTTAAAAGATACAATTTTTAAAAAATCAGAATTCTGAAAATGGAGGCAAGTCAGTATTATTCCTTTTCTAAATTTGTCAAATGAAAGCAAAGCCTTCACATAAGATTTTGATGAGTACTGTACATTTATTATTACAGCTGTTTGAAATTATGGAATATGGATTCTGAACTGCCTTGTATGTTTTGCAGATGTTAACTATAACTATATGTTTCATCATTTAGTTTTTCCTGCCCTTCTTTCTAATGATACTTCCAAATCTCCTAAAAATTTCTTCGAGACAGTAAGAGCAGACTAGAGGAGATTAGTGTAAAGTTGATGGACACAGTAGACTACTGTCTTCTTCTTTTTAACTTCCTGGATATAAAGAGAATGAAAATCTCTTCTCTTGCCTATCTCCCATTGGATTTTGGATAGATGGATCTTGGCAAAAAATGTGAGACTGTTCATGTTCATATTTGTAGTTCATAATTTTCTGAACCAGACCTTTTTTTTGCATTCATCATGATATATGTAAAATTGTTTTTGTCTGCAGAGAATAAAAGCAGGAAGTCTTATTGACCAAATAAAAGTCATATGTGTTGGTGACCACATAGAATCTATAAATGGAAAAAATGTAGCAGGCTATCGTCATTATGAAGTTGCTAAGAATTTAAAGGAGTTGAAGAAGGGTCAGACATTTACATTAAAACTGATAGAACCTATGAAATCATTTGGTGAGTGGAATATATCCACCAAAACTCATACTGATAATCTTATTGCAATAAAGTAAAACTATCCTCAATGATCATCATAATTAAGCTACTTAATCATAAGGTTTAAAGCTTTTCTTTCCATACCTTAAACTCTATTACACTAATTATTACACAGACAACTTCACATGAAGCTCAAAAACTTTATTTCTTTCAGGCACATACAAAAAGGGGTTATCAAGCCCAACATGGTTCATGGGATGTATTAAATTTAATTTTGTTGTGCAGCCTGATTTAAAATAAAGACACAAATTAAAGAAAATGATGAAGCAATATGCTTTCAAATTTATCTCGTTTCAGATGTATCAATTTCATTTTCAATTTCAAATCCTCATAATTTCAATTTCATTGTACACATGTTGTGCATTGACAATAAATGTTTGATTTGATTAGGGCCCTCTTGGTAATGATTTTTCAGATTTGCAAATCTACTTCAATCAATCCCCACTACGTATATCTTTACTGCCCTTTAAGGAGAATTGAATTGAAAGTTTCACTTTTTACCATTTCTTGTAATTTAGTTAATATTCAATTACACAGTCATACTGGATCTGAGTTGCGGAAATTTCAAATTTTCAATAAATATATAAATATACTTTAGAGTTTAGACAATGTGGGAAATTAGATTCTTTTGAATGGAGCAGCATCATTTTTTTTTTCAGGAGATGCAGGTATTTTTTTGCTATGACAACTCTTTTGTGGTCTAAGCGTTGATGGATGAGAATTATAATGATGTGCAGTTAATTGGGCAGTCTTACATCTGGAAGCACACCTTACATTTTGTGGAAGTACAAAATTAAGAGGAGAGGTTCAATGAGAATTGCAGCTGCATCTCCACTAGTTTGCCTTTGCCAACTAATTTTTGGGGGTAGATTTTCAAGCCCAAAGCTATAGTGTGATGAAATAGCACATTGAAATTAAGTTGGTATTCGCTAACAGCAGATGTGGTGAAATCATATGCATTGGACTCTATTGAGTCTTTGATGTCCTTGAAAAGAGTATTGAGACTGAATCAGTTTAGTTAGATAATAGGACAGTTCAGAACAAAACAAATTATTTTTAAACAGTTATGAGTGAGATAGACACATTGATTAATATGATGGTTTTTATAGACACTTGGCTGGCAAAATATTTTTGTCTTAAAATTACTGTAAATTAGTCATTGTTGATTGAAACATAAACTTCCCAATCTACCCATTTTTAAAATGTGTGGGTCTTGGACTTATGAAAAATGTCTTTTTTCAGTTTTTCAAAAATATCTAAGACCTTATGCATCGAAGACAAATTCCTTGTGTGTCCAATCACACTTGGCCAATAAAGAATTCTATTCTATTCTATTCTATTCTATTCTGTTCTGTTCTGTTCTGTTCTGTTCTGTTCTGTTCTGCTCTGCTCTGCTCTGCTCTATTCTACTCTACTCATGACTCTGTTAAAGTAATCTCCAGATTAAATCCAGTTCTGAATTGAATTAATAGATTGCCAAACTTCATTCTATGAACCCTAAATTTGGGCTTGATGTTGTTCATCTTGAAAAGAAGAGTACTGTATATACTCGAGTATAAGCCTAGTTTTTCAGCCCATTTTTTGTGCTGAAAAAATCCCCCTCGGCTTATACTCGAGTCAGATTCCCCTCTGAAAAAAAAAATGGTGTGGAGTCGCAGCCTCCGGCGGCAGCGACTCCCAACAGCCCCAGCCGGGAAGGGAAAGGCAAAAAGCGCTTTGCCTTTCCCTTCCCGAGGCGGCGGGACTGGGGCCGCTCCGGCGGTAGTAACTCCTGACTCAGGGGGCCTCCGAGGGAGGGGAAGAGAGTGACTCCTGCCTCCCGCTGTCATCATCATCTTCTTCTTTTGGGTTAGTGAATCAATTAAACCTTTCATGATAGTGAGATCGTTTCCCAAATTAATTATTTTTATTTTTGAAATTTACCAGTAGCTGCTGCATTTCCCACCCTCGGCTTATACTCGAGTCAATAAGTTTTCCCAGTTTTTTTGTGTAAAATTAGGTGCCTCGGCTTATATTCGGGTCGACTTATACTCGAGTATATACGGTAACTATATTTGGAGTTGAATTGGAATTAGGAAAGCATACATTGAATGTGACACTATAGAGGATCTAAAAGAATAGGGTGGTCAAAAGAATTGTAACAAAATCAATATTGTATCAATAATATGTATGTTAGTTGTTCAGCTCTATTCTAGTATGTATGGCAGAGGAATGCCAGGACGGTCGCACTGTGTTTGATATCTATATTTCTAAACAATATATATATATATATATATATATATATATATATATATATATATATATATATATATAT